TCCCAGCTACTCGGGAGGCTGAGGCAGGAGAATGGCGTAAACCCGGGAGGCGGAGCTTGCAGTGAGCCGAGATCGAGCCACTGTACTCCTCCAGCCTGGGCGACAGAGCGAGACTCTGTCTCAAAAAAAAAAACAAAAAAAGAATCCACCACGCTGGTACGAGCTCAAGTGCGACGTCGGCACACTTGTAGCTTAGAGTCAGAAACACAGGCACGCATGAAAACGCGCGGCAGGAGCCCTTCCACAGAGCAAACCTCTCTCTGCTGCAGTGGCTCTAAACGAGGTGCAAACGTTATAATTACCTACGGGACTTTTAACCTGTATGCCAGGCCCCATCCAAACTGACGGACTCAACATCTCCAGGTATGGTTTTTTTTTTTTTTGAGATGGAGTCTCGCTCTGCCGCCAGGCTGGAGTGCAGTGGTGCGATCTTGGCTCACTGCAGCCTCCACCTCCCAGGTTCAAGTGATTCTCCTGCCTCAGCCTCCAGAGTAGCTGGTATTACAGGCACCCACCACCACAGCCAGCTCATTTTTGTATTTTTAGTAGAGACGGGGTTTCACCATGTTGGCCAGGCTGGTCTGGATCTCCTGAGCTGGTGATCCGCCCACCTCGGCCTCCCACAGTGCTGGGATTCCAGGTGTGAGCCACTGCGCCAGGCTGGCATCTGTAGTTTTTAAAAGGCCCCAGGTGGTTCTGCTGCACACCCCCAGAAGAGAAACACAGCGCCTTTACACAGCACTCAGTCCCCATCAAGGAGACACTGAACAGAACTCCTACTGACATCCATTGGCTCCTTGGGGATTACTGACAATGTAACAAATCAAGGCAGCAACTTCCCTGGCTGTGACCACCAACTGTGGAGAACAGGAGCTTGACAGCTCAATGCTGTGATGGAATCGTCCGGAAAACGACTCCTCATCAACGAACCAAAAAGAGAAGTGGGGATCTGTACACAAACGCTGGGAGTGACAAGAACCAGGTGCGGGAGTCCACTGGCTGTCCCAGCTCTCCCGGGTCGAGGACAGACGGCTGAACTGGCTGTGCTATTTGGAGATGGGCCCCACCGCCCCTTCTCAACTGTACAGCTCAGGCTGCGTTACCACAGAAAGCCCGTGGGCTGGGGGGCCTTCTACAGGGCTTCCCGGGGGCTCTCCCGACCCCCTCCCTGCCCTTGTTTTATTTGGAATCTTTTCCTCACAGACCTCAACTAAAGGCTGCACGCCCTTCTCACACCACTTATTTTCTCCTCCACATTCTCGAATTTGAGATGCTCGATGCATGAGAGTCATACCGGCTAGCAAGGACATTCTGGAAGCTGATGAAGAAATGAGGCTCAGGATCAGAGCTGGATGGCGTCGGGGAGAAGGGCTGGCAGAGAGGGCAGGGGCACAGAGCAGTAGTTATGCTGGGAAACAAGGTGGGGACGAGGAAATCAGGTTTCCAGGCAGATTTTCAAACCTTGTTCCTACTGTATGGCTGTTACGAGTTTTACGGATTTTCAGGAAATTTCCTCTGTCCTGAAAACTTTTTGAGACAGGGTCTTGCTCTGTCACCCAGGCTGGAGTGCAGTGGCGTGATCTCCGCTCAGTGCAGCCTCCGCCTCCCGGGTTCAAGTGATTCTCCTGCCTCAGCCTCCCCAGTAGCTGGGATTACAGGAATCCGCCACCACACCCGGCTAATTTTTGTATTTTTAGGTGAGACAGGGTTTTGCCATGTTGGCCAGGCTGGTCTCGAATTCCTGACCTCAGGTGATCCACCCGCCTCAGCCTCCCAAAGTGCTGTGATTACAAGCGTGAGCCACCACGCCCGGTCAAGTTTTTTTATTTTTGGTTTCACCAGGTTGCCCAGGCTGGTCTCCAACTATTGAGCTCAAGCAATCTGCCCACCTCAGCCTCCCTAGCAGTTGGGACTACAGGTGCATGCCACCACACCTTGCAAATTTTTATTTTTGTAGAGGTCTCTACGTTGCCTGGGCTGGTCTCGAACTCTTGGGCTCAAACGATCCTCCTGCCTTGGCCTCCCAAAGTGTTGGGACTACAGGCATGAGCCACTGTGCCTGTCAAGATATCATTCTTGAGCAAAAGCGGTCAGCGACAACAGTGGTTGGCTGTAGCTGTGGTCATGGTTAACTGAGGCTTGGCTTCAAGGGAACTGAGTGAATCAGGGTAACGGCTCGATATGCTGCCTGTTCTCTGGATGCAGGATGATGGGAGAGGCTGGGAGCACTCTCTTCAGCAAGCCCTGCTGCAGACAGCCCGTGGTGGACAGCAAGGGCAGGCGGGGGCAGGCTGCGTGCCAGGCCAGGCTCTCAGCCTGGTGTTTAAGGTCCATATTCTGTTCCTGAGGCATCCAGAACCCCAGGGTCCTTCCTGTAACACAGGGACACACAACCCCGGGCTCCTTCCTGTAACACAGGGACACACAACCCCGGGCTCCCTCTCATGACACAGGAACACAGAACCCCGGGCTCCCTCTCATGACACAGGAACACAGAACCCCGGGCTCCCTCTCATGACACAGGAACATACAAATGGGACACTGCACATCACCTTTGCTATTTCAGATGACGCTGGCAAGTGCTGTGGACCTGAAGATGAGTGGGCAGAAAGGGATTCGAGGGGATGGACTTCTGAGTGTTCCCATGGCTTCATCGGATGAGAAAGCCTAGGAAACGTTTTCCAAGTGAACTTCCTGGTTTCCCTTCCCTAGAAGCCAGGAGCAGAGTGGGAGTAAAGAATTGGAGGAAGGGGCTGGGCGCGGTGGCTCACGCCTGTAATCTCAGATACTCAGGAGGCTGAGGCAGGAGAACTGCTTGAACCCAGGAGGCAGAGGTTGCAGTGAGCCTAGATCGTGCCACTGCACTCCGGCCTGGGTGACAGAGACCCCGTCTCTAAAAGAAAAAAAAAAAGGAAAGAATCTGCTCACACAGCCCGGCGAGTGTGCCAGGCAGAGCCACTGTCAGATCTGGGTCTGCCCTTACCCAAGTCAGGAGCCCCAGGGCAGACAGGACACCTGCTTGAAGGCCTGGCACATACGCCCTTCCTGGTGACAGACACAGAGGACATCTCTCCTTTGCAGACAACTGAGAAACCGCGGGAACACAGGGATAACTGGCCATGTAAGGTCATGACAAGCATCAGAAACAAAATATGGGCCAGGAAACTGGGATTTCCATGGGAATACGCCTGGTCCTACGGCCTCCATGAGGAGCCTGTCACCTGACACTTCATTAACTCAGGCCCTAGGGCCAAGCCCAGAGATGGGAGAGGAAACTCAGCTCTGGTAGAAGGGGAAACCTGAGCCGGCCACAGAGAGAGGGAGGATGGAGGGAGGAGGGAGGGAGGATGGAGGGAGGAG